GGGACCCCTGTTCCACACTCGCTCTGCTTTCCTGTGTTAGTTTCTTTTCTGGGACTCTGGTAAAGCACCCTGACTGAAAGCAACTCCGGGAAGTAAGGGATTATTGTTGGTTACAGTTGCAGAGGGACAGAGTCCATCACAGCAAGGAAGATACACTGGCTGCAGCCTGAGGCCAGCCTGGTATTCAGGAAGCAGGAAGATCACATTTCATCCGTATACATGGGGGGCGGGGGCAGGAAGTGTGGCTAAGCTATGAAACCTCAAAGACCACCCCTGAGTACATACTTCCTCCACCCAGGCTCCACCTCCTAGAGGTTCCAGAACCTCCCCCAAACAGCACCACCAAGTGGGGACCAGATGTTCAAAGATTGGGAGCCTATGAGGGGCGTTTTGCATTCAAATCACTGCATCTCCTGTGCTGTGGGGAACCCTTTAGCTGTCGGGGACAGACTAATCCACAGGTGAGCCACACCTGTCCATCCAGTCCCCCTCTATAAAAGTCTGTCCTGATGTGTGCCTGGGCAAAGGACATAGGCAAGGCCATTGAGATGGTTAGAGGGTAGGGTTTCACCTCTTAAAGTCTCCTCATTCTTGCATCCATTCATTTATTCACTCACGAAACTCTCCCAGAATCCTCTGTTTAAGCCAGCTACCTGCTAGGTGCTGGTGAGTTTTGTGAACTCAAGTTCCCAGTTGGGGGTGGCGTGGGGGGCCAAGCCTATGTGAAAAGTTCTACAGCAATACTTGCCTGATTAGCGCCTCATGATTGTAGAGAGGTTGGAATGCTACAGGTCAGGTCCCAAATTACCTTGGGCTACTTTTAGTCCTCATAATAGCCAATCATTGCCCACTTCTGTGTGTGACCTGACATCCTGTGACTACTAGGTACATGTTTTTAGAATGTACAAACAGACCTCTCGTTTTGGGGGGTAGTGTGAAAGTGAAGAATGTTGTCAGTTACCATCTGAACCCTATCGCCCAAACTTTCCTGCCTCGCTGTCATCGGCCCAACCAATGTCACCACCATATTCAGTAGATGTCTTGATCCATTGCTTTTGTTCAATGACTATAGCTCGTTTGTGTGGCTGCTTCCATGTGGGAACATGTATTCTTGGGACATAGTCACCCTATGACATTTGACCCAGCGTGTAGGGTCTCTTTTCCCCTTTGAGGTGAGAGCTGTGTCCCATGTCACCAGTTTCATGATCAAATTAGAAGTGTCCAGCCCTCACTCGGCAGCCTCCACTGCACTCCATCCAGCAGAGCATCTGTGAAAACCAGAAGAAACACGGGTGGGTGCAGGGGTTCCTTGTAACACACTCCCTCTCCACCTGCGTGCTCCAGCAGCATGGGGCTGGATAACCCTCCACTTCCTCAGTCCTCCACACTCAGATGAAAATACAGAGGCCTAGAAAGGTTAAGTTGCTTCATGGTGCTGTCGCTGGCAAGTGGCAGAGCTAAGACACAATCCACCTCCACCTCCCTGGGTGCTTTGAATGAGAAAGGCCTCCTCCGTAGGCTTATACATTTGAATACTTGGTCCCCAGTTGATGGAACTGTTTGGAAAGGATTAGGGGGTGTGGCCTTGTTGGAGGAGGTGTGTCACTGGGGACAGACTGAGATTTTAAAAGCCCATGCCATTCCCAGTTCTCTCTCTCTCTCTCTCTCTCTCTCTCTCTCTCTCTCTCTCTCCCTCCCTCCCTCTCCCCCCTCCTTCCTCCCCCTCCCCCCTCTCCTCTCTCCCTCCCTTCCCTTTCCTCTCTCTCTCTTCCTCTCTCTCTTTCTCTGTCATGTATTTATGGACCGCTCCCTGCTACTGCTCTCCAGTGCCACCATGCCTGCCTGCCCTCTGCCATGCTCCCCCATCATGATGGCCGTGGACTCACCCTCTGGAACTGTAAGTCCTAATAAACTCTTTCTTCAATACATTGTCTTGGTCATGGTGTCTCTTCACAGCTGTAGCTTTGGTCACACTTTCTCCTTTTGGGGACATAGTACTTGGAACATAGTAAAGGCTCAGAAAATCTGAACTCTGTCTGTGTGTGTGTGTGTGTGTGTGTGTGTGTGTGTGTACGTGTATATATGTCATGGCAAGTGGAGCAGAGGGCAACTTTCAGGAGTCAGTTCTCTCTGCCCACCAACTGGATCCCAGGGATCAAACTCAAGTCCTCAGGCTTGGTGGCAGGCACCTTTACCCACTGAGCCATCTCACTACCCTGGTACTTGTTGAACTAAAGACACAATGGAAGAGTGAATCTCCTCTTCCCTACTTGACCATAATTAGAGCGTTTGCATTGGTTTGGATGAAATGCACGTTCTTTATAAGCAGAATCCATTGTGAGAAGGCAAGGGCTTTGCTGTCATCTGCTCTGGATTCAAATCCCACCACTGCCCGTGTGTGCTGAGGGACCTCAGTCTGTTTCCTGTGGTTTGTATGCACTGAGGTACTGTGCAATCATGGTAGCTCCTGCTAAATGGAGCTAGCCTGGGCTGCAGTTTTTACCTGGGAGAGGTAGCCGCAAGAATCATCTGGGTCCAGATTGCTGAGTCTGGTCCCAGAGCACTAGGCATTTTAACAAGATCCCCTGCTGGCCTACATAACTAGTGATCTCAGAGTCTCTTTTTCAAAACCCCTGGGAGAGACCCTGTAGGGAGGGTTTTAAACAAAGGCGTCTTGGAGAGGGAGCTGGCAGAAGAGGGAGTGCTGGGGTCAGGCCTCCAAGACAGCAGGATTTCCTCCTCCTTACCTCCATGATTACATGCTTTGTTCTTGTGTCTGTTCCAAGGATGGGTCCTGGGCCATGGCCCCCACCCCCATCCCCATGCCACCCTTTATGCTTCTTAAACTCAGTGGAACATTCATGAATTCTTGAAGCCTTTCAGTTTCAAAAAAAAAAGAAAAAAGAAAAAAGAAAGAAAAAAGAAAAGAAATCCAGGCCTCCACCAGAGCGGGCTCTGCATCCCCCTGCAGTATCAGTGGCCAGGTCAGGCCCCTGCTGTGGTCTTCTGGCTGGCGCCTTTGAAAGGACACACTGTTCCTAGCCTCTGCATCCAGAGTTCTGGGCACACATGAATTATGCATGCAGGGCTTGGCTGGGCATGAGCACATCCTGACTGTCCCTGGAACCGAAGCATATCCCAGACCAAGTGGCCAGGACCCAGAGCTGGTGGTGGCCTTTGGCTTCTTGCCCTCATCAGCTCTGAGTGGCTAGGTGAGCCGCTCATCTGTCGTTGGCCTTAGACTGGAGTGATCAACCCTCACCTGATCCCCAGGAACAAGCTAGAGGAAAAGCCACCACCAGGCTGCCAGCAGCTCCTGAGACACCAGCCAGTGCCATCTTCTCTGTGACTCTCATTAACCCCATGTCTGCAAGTCCCAGAGGCAGGAGTGATACCAGGCCCGAGACACAGGGTAGTAGACACAGTGGGCTGTGTTACAGAAGGGCAATGTAGAGACGCAAGGATTCACTTGCTGTTTAGGAGTAAAAAGGGCCATCTCGTGTGAGGGAAAGATGGCCTCACTCCTCCTAGCTTACACACTGAAGCACAATGATAAACAGACCAGGAAAGAGCTCACCAGGGCCTTGCGTTCTTGCCAGCCCCTGGAAGAACTCAGGAGCCCTCACGACCCATGGCATGTCACTTCTTCCAACAGGTAAGTCTGTCTCAGAGACAGAGAAATGCTATGGGACAAATAAAATATATTGATAAGACAGACACAAGCCAGTATGGTCCTGGAGGGCCTCCAATTAGAAGTAGGTGGGGGGTTTTTCAATATTCAATTTTTTACTTTTAAATCTTTAATTATGTATATATGTATGTCAGAGTGTGTGAGTAGGGGAAATGCACATGAGTGCAGGTGTCTAAGGAAGCTAAAAGAGAGCACTGGATTCCCTAGAGCTGGGGTCACAAGTGGTTGTGAGCCACCCAAATGTTGGTGCTGGGAATGGAACATGGGTCCTCTGCAAGAGCAGTAGGCATTCTTAACTACTGGGCCGTCTCTTCTACCGTGAAGAGGTGGTTTTTGAAATAAAATCAGAACCACTCAGAGAAAGGTCCATAGCAGAAGGATCCACAAAGACTCTCCCTGAAAGAGGCCCACCAGCTGGTAGCCTCCTGGGAGAGAAACAAGGTCCTTGGGTGGCCCTCAACAAGACGTGGACTGAGAATCGGGTGAGGGAGAGAGGAGACTGATGTCAGTTCCTGCACAATTCTCCCCTAAAACTATTTCTGGAGACTCAGCAAATGCACTGTAGGAGGCACGGAGGTCCTTGTGCTCACAGATAAGAACTAGGACAATCTGGACTGTTAGAGAGGGTGCTGTCCTTCAAAGAAAGGGATGTATAACCTATTATCCACCCAGAAGGCTGGGAGTAGACATGATAAATTGTGGTGGGAGACTATACTAGATCCCCCCTACTGCTTCCTAGCCCCGGTTCTTTTTCTCGGTCAATCTACAGAATCCATCTTTATGGAAGGCATCACATGTACTTTATAAAACGTTTCAGTGCAGTCACATCTGATCTTTATTTAGCTCACTTTGTTCCTCAAGGAGATTTATGTATGTGTTATTGTGCACACGGGACTGAGTTCATTATCACCAGGAAAGTTTTCATCAAACTGTACTACTTTTAAATAGGCCTAAAATCAACTACCGGGGGTCAGACTTCCAAAGTTTGAGCCCACACCAGCTACTGAGTCATGTTGAGCCGAACTACCTTCTTGCCTCCTGCGGATTATTTCTCTGCTGTCTGTGGTAGTCTCAGAGACCCCTGCAAGACACCTCTTCCTCTGAGTAGGCACAACCCCTTACCCAGCCACAGAAGAGGGGTGTGGCTGGCCTCTAAACCCCTCTGCCCTTGTGAAATATAAATACACAGAGGACCTCGATAGTGCCATCTTCTGATTCAGACAGAAACAGAGAGAAGGCAGAAACCAGAGCCCTGTGCTGGCCATATTGGCAACTTGGGAGACATTACTGAGGAAACAGTTGACAGAGCTAGAAGTGACCTCCAAGGTTCATTTGACATGCCTGTGAACATTCCTGACAGAGCATTTAGAGAGGACAGTGACCTTAGGGAAGAGAGTGATCCTCTAACGTGTCACTCTGCCCAGGAAGGGGTTAAGGTGGAGGCCAGAAGCCAAGTTTAAGGAGAAATGCAGAATGAACTTCGGAGTGGGTGCCACCTTAAACGCTGAGTCTCTTTAGTAGTGGCAGGACGGTCTTCATCACAAATGGCTCCAGCACAGTTGGATACTGTTTTAGAAAAGAGAAAAACCCAACCTTTAATTCAAAGCTCATATAAAAATAAAAATAGGTGACAGTTCGAAGCATAAAGAGGAGGAAAGGTGAAACATCTATCCTTTTAGATAGAATTCTAAAGATTCACTAGATTTTAAAAAAAAATGTCACAGACTGAGAAAATATTTGTATGTGTCTGACATGAAACTTGTTTCCTGAATATGTAAAGAACACTAGCAACTCAATAACAAAGTGGGAAGTGATCCAAGCTTTCAAAAGTGAGTGAAAGATTTGCACAGACCATTTGCAGAGGAAAAGAGACCCATGGCCCCTGAACCATGAACTCACACTCAGTATCATCTGTTGTCAGGGAAATACATATCTGAGAACGTAAGGAAATGCCACTTCACACCCAGTTGGGTGGCTAAGTAAAGAGCAATGAAAGTATCAAGTGTTGGCAAAAAGTGTGTGAACTGAGACTCTCATCTTCTGCTGAGGATATAGAATGTGCAGAACAAACAGACACCAGTGTTCATAGGAACTTGATTCACAACAGCCAAAGGTTTGCCAGAACTCCAGTGCTCATCAACAGGACAGTGGCTGGGTAGGCTGTGCCTACCCATCATCCGTCAGAAGTCACTCTGCAGTAAAATGGGACTGTTGGTACACACGGCATGAAAAGAAGAAAACTTTCTATCTGTGTTGATAGCTTGCCAACTTGAATAGGTAACAGCGGTCCATTTGAGTGACCAGAACTACACCTGCAGACCGACCTTCTGTGGACAACTGTGGAGTTCTCGAGTGTCCCAGGAAGTTGCCCTTTTCCTTCTTTACGGTGTGAGGAACTAGTGCTTACCACTGAGACTTGATGAGCACTGGAAATGAACTCCGAATTGACCGGCCACCCCTGCCTCTTCTTCCAGAGGTGAACGGCCCACAGCCCAGGGACAAGGAGGGCAGATGAGCTTTGTCCAAGGACATGGGGCTGGACTTAAGTACGGACCACGCGGTGCTCAGGGAGCCGTGGGTTTGCAAAACAGAAATGAAAACCACTGGCTTGACTCCACCCAGTCCCTCTCATCCTGGGCACAGTCAGGAGAAGTCTGGGTTTCTAGTGGGCAAGGTCAGGCCTGCAGGCTGAGGAGCCACCAAAGGCCCTGATCTGTGGGACGCACTGTAGAGGTAACATTGCTCCAGGGCCACAGCCGTGGGAATGGGTGAAGGACATGTTCATACGACACCTCAGGTGTGCATGAGTCTAGCAGCTGGTTTCATAAGCATCAAAGAACAGAAACACCACAGATGTCCTCAGACAGATGTGTGGTTAAACTAACTGTGGTACATCAAGCAAATAAAACACTACCTAGCAATAAAAAGGAACAAACTGTTGCCAGCACATCCTGGATGAATCTCCTGGGAACCAGAGGGTTATTCGTCACGCTTCCATTTGTAGAACTTTCCTGAAATGATATAATTACAGACATGGAGAACAGATTACTGAGGAGGTCAAAAGCAATCACTGAAGCCTTGTTCATTTTAGGAAAAAAAATCTGGGTAGCCTGTAAATACCAGAAGATCGATGGTGGCATCAATCACCATCAATACAGATGCAGTGCTGAGTGAAATGGGGAGGTCAGGAAGAATACATTTCAGATGGATTCTATGTCCCCATAAAGGTTAAAGCAGGTAAACAATGTGGGGGGGGGAGGGTGCAAGAAGAGAACAATGATTGTGACCATTTAGATGGCAAGAGGCTAGGGCAGTGGGACAGATAAGAAAGAGCTTTGGAGAGATGCCCTCAAGGTTAAAGGACATTATTTACTCTTTTTAATTATGAGCCTGAGTCTTTATTGGACAGGCTATCTCTCCAGCTCCATTTATGTTTCTTGTTAGACCGCAGAGGGTTATCATTGCTTAAATTGTACCCCACACACATTCACACATATGTGCACATGCACAAACAAACTCATGCATACACACACACATGCACATGCACGCATGAATTCACACACACACACACACACACACACACACACACACACACACACACACCCCTCTGCGGGTATTAAGACTTCATGGTGAAAGTGTACTTTCAGATGCAGTGCTGAGTGAAATGGGGAGGTCAGGAAGAATACATTTCAGATGGATTCTATGTCCCCATAAAGGCTAAAGCAGGTGAAATTGCAGAGAAGCAATGTGAAGGTTCTGGGTAGGCTGAGGAACTACCAGGCCACAGACCAGTGGTTCTCAACCTCTGGGTCAAGACCCCTTGGAGATCAAATGACCCTTTCACAAAGGTCATATATCAGATATCCTGAATATAAAATATAAAATACTTACCTTACAATTCATAGCAGTAGCAAAATTACAGCTATGAAGTAGCAACAAAAATAATTTCATAATTGGGTTGGAGGTCACCATAACATGAGGAAGTGTATTAAAGGACCACAGCATTAGCAAGGTTGGGAACCACTGCCATAGAGGGATGAGACCCAGTAGGGTAGCTCTGGCACTAAGACTGGAGGCAGGTACTTGGACTGTGTCTTAGTTAGGGTTTCTGTTGTGATGAAACACCACGATCAAAAAGCAAGTTGGGGAGGAAAGGGCTTATTTGGCTTACACTTCAACATTGCTGTTCATCACTGAAGGAAGTCAGGACAGGATTCCAGAGGCAGGAGCTGATGCAGAGGCCATGGAGGGATGCTGCTTCCTGGCTTTTCTTCCCCATGGCTTGCTCAGCCTGCTTCCTTATAGAACTCAGGACCACCGGCCCAGGAATAGCACCACCCAAAGTGAGCTGGGCCCTCCCCCTCCCACATTGATCACTAGTTGAGAAAATGCCCTGTAAATGGATCTCATGGAGGCATTTCCACAAGAAGCTCCTTCCTCTCTGGAGGCTCCAGTCTGTGTCAAGTTGACACACAAAACTAGCCAGTACAGATTGGAAGGGTGCAGAAGTGATGGGCACCAGAGGTGGGGAATGAAGAGGAGCTGAGCCTAAGAAGCAAAAGAGGACACAAAGCAGAAGAGGATGGTGGGAGGTGAGAAGGGAGAAAAAGAAAGGAGAGAGAGATGTTGGCAGGGTGGAGAGAGGGGGGGGGAGAGGGAGGGGGGAGAGGGAGAGGGAGAGGGAGAGGGAGAGGGAGAGGGAGAGGGAGAGGGAGAGGGAGAGGGAGGGAGAGGGAGAGGGGAGCCCACTGGGCATCTCTGTGGCTCCCTGCTTTGCAGCTATGACACCTGTGTGGCTTGGGCTACCTTTCTGAGGTAAGACATCTTAGGAGAGCCACAGGCACTGTCTGCAGGTTGTGTATGTCATCCTGGAAGGACATTCACTCCACGGTCTTTGCTAAGGGACAATGGTCGTGCTATAGCTCACCCTGTGGTGACACATTATTTAATTCCTATGTTCTGTTTACTCCAGTTATACAAATGAGGATACCCAGGCTCAAACAAACACCGATTTACCCAAGCCACACAATACAGAAAAGCCAGACTTCCCGCTTTGTTCTGCCCAATTCAAGAGCCAAGCACTCCGGGAGTCTGGGCACAGGGTTGCCACTGAAAGCCCGGGTCTATCTACTCCTGGTCACCCCATCACTCGGCCAACCCCAGGAAGACTGGAGTCAAGTGCCCTAGGAAGGGCGCCAACGACGCTGGATTTGGGCTGGAGGCTGGCTCACCAACCCCGCTGGCCCACCGCAGGCCTCAGTTTCCCCATTTGGCCAAGGTAGAGAGCGGATGGCAAGAAATCAGGGGTCCTGCTCGGCCCGCCCCCGGGGGTGGGGCTGGGAGTGGTCACGTGGAGGGGCGCCGCGCCCGGGGTCTCCCGCCCACTCGGCGTCGGGAGCCGGAGCCCGGAGCCGCCAGCGAGGACGCCGCGAGGGCTGGAAAGGCGCCGCCACGCAGGGGCTGCTGAGGTCACGGCCACCGGGGCCTGAGGGCACCTGCTCGCTCCTCCGCCCGCTCCCTGAAAGCTGTGCGGGTGGCTGGACCCGCAGCGGCGACGCCGACGACAACAGCAGCAGCAGCAGCGAGGACTGGAGCGCGGGCAGCCACAGCAGCAGCCACGCCAGCAGCGACACCATGGATCTGTCTTTTATGGCCGCGCAGGTAACCCGGAATCTTCCCCATGCTCCCAGGGTCTCCAAGTTTGCAGGACCCCAGCCTCGCTGTCCTCCTCGGTGCAGCTCTAGCGTCCCTGGCCAGGTTCTTTGTCCCGAGCCCGGCAGTCCCACCTGGTGCACGTACCCGGGGCCCCCAGCTTGGCTGTCCCGGGTGAAGTGGCCCGTGTCCCTCGCACACCGAAGGTGGAGTGGAGTTGTCTCCACTGAGCACCCCACTTCTGAGCAAGACAGCTCTGAGGGGCCTGGACAGCGGGAGTCGCCCCTCCCTGCCCAACCCCCACTCGCTGTTTGCGGTGGTGCCCCCCGGGCTGGCAGAGGACAAGCTGGAAAGGAGCTGCCCTCCCCACTCTGGTTTTGCTTGGTGCTGGCACTTTGTCACTTGTTGGTGTCCTCGGGGCAACCCCCTTTCTCTCCACTGTGGGTGGTACTTTAGTCCCTACCGCTCAGGGAGGCAGCGTTAGGGCTTTGTGACGGAGATGGATGGTTTAATCCGTTTTTGCTTTGTGCCGGGTTGGAGCAGACCACTACCCTTCTCTCCACACAAAACAGGCTCCTCCTGGCAGACATACAGATGACCTCTTGGCGCTCTGCCTGGTCTCCGCGGCAGGAGAATGCCTCGGAGTTGTGATCTTAGGTGTGGATTCTCTTGAGCCAGAACAAAGACACACGCCCTTTTCTGGGGGTTGTGTGTAAGAGCCCTTGAGAAGACCGGGAGCTGACCATAGTGAGGCTCGTCTGGCTGGATACAAGTCCCAGCCTACAAGTCAGACATTCCATCTTCTATGGTTGTGTTGGGAGCGCAGGGACAGGGAAGCCAACCCTGTTGTCTCCTGGGTGTGTGCCCAGGGCCCCAATCCCTGCTGCTTGTCTTCGGGAGTGACGTTTGAAGGGACACTTTGCTTTCTCCAAACTTCACCCGTGTGGTGGAAGTCTGTTTAAAATGTAACTTCAAAAGCCAGACTGGATGTAGAGGGTTGTTCCCAAATGGGAGCATCAAATGGCACAAAGTCCCCAGGCTGGCTCTGGGTGATCAGGACCCAGAGTGGAGAATGGTTCAGTTAAGCAAATGAACCCTAACCCTAACAATTCCTACAACCTGCCCTTCTTTGCTGATGGCCCACATCGTAGTTTACCCGTATGTAAATACGGTCATGTGGAAAACAGTCACTTCCACTGAAGATGGAGGCGTGTTTAGCTGAGCTGTAACTGAAGTGAGGAGAGAAACTCACATCCTCTCGGCATCCCACAGAAGCTGGTGTTTCCATGGTTACAAGATAAATTGATCGTTACTAACTAACCTTTGGGGCTGGCTAGAGCATCCTCGGTTGCTATGGTGACTCGACAGTACCAACAGGGCTTTTCTGCACCTGTGGGCAGAGCCTGGGGGAGTTTGTGGTGGTGGTGGTGGTGGTGGTGGTGGTGTGTCAGTGGGGTTTTGTTGTTTTTGTTTTATAATTCACATTTCTCTTGGTCAGTTTGTTTGTGCCAACAGATGGCATTGATTACATGCTCAGCACCCTGCTAGCTGAAAGGAACAGAAATGTGAATAGGCACACCAATGGAAGACACGCTAAGGTTTGTTGAGGACCTACTGTGTGTGAACGCTTGCAAGTCCTATTAGCCTGGAGTTCTATAGGTCAGCATGCCAGATGTCAGGAATAATTTACCTAAGGGCATGCAGTTCATGTGGGAGGGAGCTGGTTTTTTGAACCTAGACTCCTAGACCCCTAGGCTCTGCAGAGATTCTGGGTTTTCCCCCCATGTGACTTCACCCTAGGGACACATTCCAAGATGGCTTATCTGTCCCCTTCCTCTGGAGGTGCTGGCACTATGGTGTCTCCTGCACAGCATGGCCTTGGTTGTGCTCAGTATTGCTTCCTACCATAGATCTGTCTCACTGTCTCCATAGGATGAGAATTGCTACTTTTTTAAAAAAAAATCTGAAGGACCTACCAGTATGTGGGGAGTGAACACTCAGCCTCTGTACACCTCTGTATGTATCTGTGTGCGCGCGCGCGTGCGTGCGTGCATGCGTGCATATGTGTGCATGCAGTCCCTGCTTCCTGTCCCCAGTCTTGTCTGGCAGTGAGCACCTGCAGAGATATGATGGCACTCCATTTACTTCTTCAGCACCCTTGTCATGGTCCCTGTCCATGGGACAGGAGAGCTGAGAGACAGAGTTGGATGGGACCTAGATCCTTTCTCTGGGTGCTTACAGGTCAGACCAGGACCCAGCAAGAGAAATAGATCAAGTACTAGGCCCAGCATGGAACTAGCACACAGTAGTTCTTCAACAAGATTGGATGAGGGTGAGATGAGATGTGTACTCATGAAAAGACACTCAGATGAACAGAGAGCGAATGCAAGATGTCACATGTGTACACCATCACCAGGACTTGGAGAAGGAGGCAGTGGACATGTTAGGATGACGGGCAGATGGTCCCGAACAAGCCTGGGAATGAGCCTTCTCGAGAAAGCAGTGTGGAGGTAGTGGGGCCTGTGACATATTCAGAGCCCTTCAGAGAGCTAGAGGGCAGGAGACACAGTGGGTCTGAGAGCAGAAGGTCAGAACCAGGGTACGGAAGGTGTTGACTGGCAGATGAGAAGTCGGAGCTGAATCAGAGCACTGGGAGCCATCATGTTCTTCAGCACAGAAATGGCATATATGCCTGGGGAAAGAAACCCTCTTCCCCCTGGGGAATGGAAGCTGGAGGAATGGGCGGAGTCAGGAGTGTGTCTACTGATGAAGGGAATGAGACCAGATCCTACTCCAGACCTGGGCTTCCTGCCTTCAAGTGCAGCCAATACTCAACAGGATTCCTTTCAGTATCTTAACATGATTCAGAGCATGTAAGCCTTTGGAAGAGCTTGGGACTGCAAAATATAAGTGTGGAGATGACACTCCATCAGCTGTGCAGCGTGGACATGTTACCCCAATGTAGGGGTGCGCCCTTCATGTTCCATAGGAGGCCGAGAGAGAGTTTGGAGAGGCTCAGCCTCAGAGGTTTAAGATAGAGCCCCTGGACCGCAGCCTGGGTCACCTGGCCACCTTGGGAATATCCCACACAGTCCCTTACAATCCCTGGATCCTGGAAGCTTTGGAGATTGTGAACGTGTGGGACATCCATTTCTCTGTAGCCAATGATGACCAGATGGGCAGGGCCACCAAGACTCCAGGACTGGGTGAGAGGGAAGGTCACAGGTCTCTAGGATTGAGCCCAGATTCTCGCACTCAAAGATGGCTACCACCCATTCTTTCTCCTCGGGAGCCCCATTCTGCGTTCCTAACCGTCAAACCTGGGCCGCCATAGTGACTTTCAAGACCCAGAACATGTTGTGTTGGTGACACTTAGGAACTTCTGAGACTGAGTCCTGAGAAACAACCTGGGACCGGTGTACATCTACTGTAGGGGAAGCCAGTGTCATGCAGAAGGCCTGATATTGCTGGGACCTTTGCATTAGAGGAAGGGTTCTGCTGTGGGCAGAGCTGGTGCTCATTCCCGTAGGGTTTGTGACCAGGACCACACCTTCCCGTACACTTTGGATCAAGCATGTAGATGTCAGCCATGCTTCTTCTATCTTGGACTGTCTCTAAAGTGACTAGTGTCTGTCCGGTATTAGTCAATTTTTCCTGACCTTAGGGTCCTTTTGGGGGCTTTAGAAGTTCCATTACCCTTGCCCCCAGTCCCACCCCAGTACCCCGATCACAGTAGTACTTCCAGTGTCCTTCAAGGCAGAGGCCTGGAATACATACTCAGCCAGCAGCGTCTTCTCCCTGCCCTTGCTTGAAGCATATCCTCGGCTCTGTGGCCAGTCTTAGGTCATAAAAAGACATGGGGCCATGGAAATTACCAAACACAATACTGATGTCACAGCTTAAAATGTTTAAGCCAAGAACTTGCTCCAAATCTGAGAGCCCCCTTCCTGTAGATTCTGCCTGTCACAGGGGCTGATGGGTAATTCGATTCTTCCCATTGTTCAGACTGGGAGGAAACAGATAGCCTGGGGGCACAGCTACCTCCTCCACGAACAGGGGAGTGGAGCCCCCAGAAGTGGAAGTGCAATGAGCCCTTCTAGAATCAGCCTCAGGGAATCCCCCATTTTCTCAGATATACAAGACCTTAGGTTTTTATGCCCGTGGTTTAAGCAAGTCCTTAAATGAGCAGAAAGCCAGTTCAAACTGGAATTTCTTCTCCTACACCTCTGAAGCCAGAGGTCCACACACAGGTGTCCCGATCACTGAAGGCCTGGAAAGAGGTGACTACATGGCACCTCCCCATTTGTGCTGGGTCCTCCTATGGGCCCCAGCCTGGTGGGCTGAGGGCCACCCTAGAACCTTGCCGTAATCCCGTCTGCACATAGACAGAGGTTCTCTTTGCAACTAAGAAAGCTGATGGGGTTAGGACTTCAGTATCCTTGAGGGGACACAACCCAATAGACAATGGGATCTGGAGACCCCCACCTTAGCGAGTCCGGTGGGCAGACTCCTCTCCTAATCTCAGGTTCTTCAGCTTTGAAATGTTGACACAACACTGCTCATTTTGCTCACTGGGCGGGGGTTTTCGGTGTGTCAAGCCCACAGCGGACTGGAGGGTAAGACAAGGGGTGGCCCCAGACCCCGGGGAGCCCACCAGGAGCACCTTTGATAGAGCTCGACTGGAAGGCTGTGTAGCCGTCGTACACACACAGGGGTGAGGGGCGGAGGAACCAGCACGCCATGGTCAGCATCGTCTTCAACACGGTGGGTCCTGTCCAGTGGGGACTGCTATGTGCCCGGCAGCGGGGTAGAGTAGAGGGACGGGTGACGGAGGATTAAAAGATAGCTCTGGGGAGCTGGGGCCAATTGGGTGGCCTCATGGGGTGGAACAGAGTGGTTGAGGGGTTGTGGTATCCTGAAGAGTAGGGGCCTCGTCTGCGGGTGTGACAGACACTGGTCCCCATGCTGTATTTCTTACTGTACCGGGCATCATTCACGCAGTCTCTCTCTCTCTCTCTCTCTCTCTCTCTCTCTCTCTGTGTGTGTGTGTGTGTCTCTCTCTCTGTCTGTCTGTCTCTCTCTGTCTCTCTGTCTCTCTCTGTCTCTCTGTCGTGTGTGTGTGTGTGTGTGTGTGTGTGTGTGTGTGTGTGTGTGTGTGTAAATATGGAGGGGCCAGCTGTCAATGGTGGCTGCTTTCCCCAATTGCTTTCTACTTTAGCTTTTAATACAAGGTCTTTCACTGAACCTAGGGTTCACCAGTTCACTAAGGGGACTGGTGTCTAGTGAGCCTCAGGGATCCTTTTGTCTCTAACCCTCCCCTAGCACTGGACTGCTAGTGTCTGCCACTGTGCCTGGCTTTTGATGTGGGTTCTGAGTCTCGAACTCAGGTCCTTGTGCTTGCTGTGCAAACCCGTCACCTCCTGCACCATCTCCCCAGCCTCCAGATTAGATTTTTAAATGCTAACAATTAATTAGAAATCTGCACCATACTGACCAGCCGCAGCACGGGCTGCTTGGTGACTGTTGATTCTTCGGGTTGCTAAGAAATCAGGAGTTGTCTAAACGGCTTGGTTTTGTGGGACAAATTCTAGAAGGACTCTGCTTAGTAGTTTGTATCTGCTGCAGTGGCCTCTGTGCAACATCT